TGCCACTTCTAAACCTCTCTGAAAACCCCTGGCAGCTGTCATTCTGTAGTAGTACCTCCACAATACCAAGGACTAGATGATGTCTACGTGCTTTTAAAATTAGTTTCTTGAGGCAATCAGAAATACTAATAACTGCCAGAATAAGAAACTAACTTTGGCTTGTCTGGTTTTCCCAGAGATCTGAGGCGAAATCACAAAGCTTCCTTACAAAGAGAAAATTAAATTCATGGCTTAGGAATGCAGAATTTTTTTGTTAGGTAATTCAAAGAGATTTTGCAGACATATATTTCCTACTTGTTGAAATTGGCTTTGGCTTTTCTTGAGAATAAAATCCTCTAGTGTAATCATTAGTATGTCGGGCTATGGCCAAGATGTCCTAAGAACCTCCTATGAGACTCTCATGCCAAACGGGGGTCGACACCTCTGAGTGTCACCGAAGAGGCTCTCCATTATGTTACTCCTCCAGCATCCTGCTAGCAATTGTGACATATTAAGTATTTTCCTTCAGAGCAATTAGAAAAACTCTGGGGAATCACCAGAGAGGGTAGCTGTTGCTATGTTTTTGTCTGTTTTGCCAAGAGGCTGGGAAAACAACTACACTAAGAAAGTTCAAAAGCAGACATCTATGAAGGTTAACTCAGAGTCCCAGTAGCCACCTCTCTCTTCTTCCCTGCCTGTAGCCACCCCACACAGCCCCAGTACCTCTCAACCAGCTGGCTAATCCCTGAAGTTGTAAATTTACAAAATCATTTATGGGTTGATACTCTAACCCTTGGGAAGGAGACTTACTTTCGATTTTATGCCTCAGCTCCTCAGTCACTTGGCTCCTTGTACTAATAGCAGTTTGTACAGTTCAACCTCAGAGCTGAATCTGGATTACTCTCATTACTTTATTAATTGATTCAAGAAATTGCTCACACATTGAGAGCTTACTATTTGTCAGACACGTTTTTTAAAAAGCACCTTAGATTTATCTTCTCAGCTTGTTTTCACATGAACCCAGTGAAGTAAATATTTTTATTATCCTCACTTTGAAGAAGAGGAAGTTGGGGCTGTTTAACTTGCTCAAGATTCTTCAGCTTGTAATTTGCAGAGAGGAGATTTAATCTCAGAGTGTTTAACTGGAGATGGCATTTTTAACCAATATGGTACCCTGGGTTCCTTTTCAGCAGAATCATAAATAGGAGAATTTGATGGAGCAGGCGTGGTGGCACCTGCCTGTAATCACAGCATTCCGGGAGGCAGAGGCAAGAAAATTGCAAGTTCAAACCCATCCTGGGAAACTTAGTGAGACCCGGTCTCAAAATCAAAAAGGGATGGGGATGTAGCTCAGTGTGAAGGGACTTGGTTCAATCCCTGGAAAAAAAAAAATTATTATCGCACAGACATTTTAAAAAATTGATATCCATATAAAGGAGTTTTTGTTTTGTTTTTGTGTTCCCCAAAGTCAAGTACATAATAATGGGCATCATACCCTGTGTGCATATGAACGTCTTAGAAGAGCAAATTAGACTCCACACACAATTTTAAAAAGTAAAAATAGAAAACCACTGGTAAGGGAGCCTTCGTTTTACAGTGAATTTGTTGGTATGTTAAACAGCACACTTCACTTTGTGGTATTTGCTGGTTGACACAATCACTGCCAGTTAAATCGATTCCCTTATCATGATAATAATGACTAGGATTAGCCCAGTTGAATGGGTGCCTGCTTTGCCCAGGGCTCACAAAAGCCATCTCTAGAGATCCAGGCTTTCCTGGCAATGAAAGGTTAACTAACAAGGCTGCTGTATTCTCAGTGGATAAATAGCAGTCCTTGGTGCAGAATGAAGGAAGTCAAGGAAAAGATGGAAAGCTCTCTGGCCAGAGGGGAAATTCCACTGAACTGGAATGCTGTGAATGGCAGAATGCTAGGAACAATGGTAGGCATCCAGAATGGGAGGGAAACAGGTGTTTTTGTTCAATGAGTATGTAGGTAATTGAGAATCAAGTAGGAGAATGGTTGTTTAAACAAAAATGTGTATACACATTTGTAGAAGCTCTATTCACAATAGCCTAAAGGTGGCATCAATCAACTCAAATCTCCATGAAGAGATGAATGGTAAAACTAATGTAGTAGAACTGTGCAATGGAACATTATTTGGGAGCGAAGTACTAATACATGCTGCAATGCGGATCCACCTTAAAATACTGTAGAAGTGAAAGAGTCCGGGCACGAAGGGCCACAGAAGTGTGTGATTCCATTTCTAGGAAATATCCGGAATAGGCAAATCCACAGAGACTCAAGCAGCTTAGCGGTTGGCAGGGCTGGGGGAAGGGAGGACGGTGACAGGCTGCCCAGCGGGGGGTGGCGCTTCCTTTTGGGGTGAGATGGAATTACGCTGGAACTGGATGAGAGGTGATGGCTGTACAACAGTGTGGGCGTATTTACTGCCACTGAATTGTGCACTTTAAAATGGTTAAATGGCACCTATTATTTTATATGTATTTTACCACAGTTTTTAAAAAGACAACCATTGGAGTTACTGTTGACTCAAATGGAAGTCCCCTGAGAAGCAAGGGCATCAAATCACCCCAAAGTGGAATACTAAGAAAGGAGGAAGGGGGCTCCTGTACTGATAGGGGAGAAACAAAAGGGAATGGTCGTCCTGGGGCTGAGATTGCTGCTGACAAACCTGACTTCACCCAGCCCTTTCTGGGGACTGTGTTTGCGTTGTGGGGGGATGATGTGTGGGTGACTTTAAAAAGCTGAAACTTGAGAGCCCAAGATTGAGCTTCCTCAAAGGGATAGCAGTGACCACAGTAGGAAACCCAGGGGCCTGGATGCAAAGTCACAAGGCCCAGTAGTGGCCTGAAAAAGCAGGCAACTGCACCCTGGCGTGGTGGCATCACCACAATCATCAGAGCTGGGGAGCAGCTGTCCCTTAGACTAGCCTGTGCTCTCCACAGTGACCCCTCCCTGGGCTCCCATTACTCACTTCCTGTAAATGCTGGGTCCTGCAGGTAGGAAGGCTTCTGCATCTGCTTCCCTTTGTCCTGCTCCCTCCCCGAAGCTGAGAGGCCAGTTCCTGACTGTCAGACCAGCAGGTCAGAGTTGTGGGCTTGCTGCCTCAAAAGGAACACACTGACCTGGGCATGTGGTGTGTGACTTTCCAGTTCCATGTCCTAATTCCAATATCGACAACTTCTTTCAAAGGTTAAGTGCCTCACTTCGAGTGAATGGAGTGGATCAAGTAGGGGACCCCCACAGTGGCTATCGTTAGTAGTTAATCCAAAGAGCTGAGTGCCCCACCCCAGAAAATAAAGAAGAAAACAGAGCTAAGTGGGTATTACCATGACAACTTTTTTAGAAAATGTGGTCTTTCCTTTCTCAAGATGTCTCCTCCTAGCACTCTTTGGATACTTTCTCTTTCTGAATAAAGTTAACACACAGGCGCATATATACTGCCAACTATTTCTGGTTGACTCCAGGAGCAGTTCCTCCTCGGCTAAGAAGAGAGCCAGAAGCATGAACTGGCACAGGGAAGAGTGTGAGTGGGCGTGGCTTTTTTGTGCCCTCTACTGCTTTTTACCTCGAGTTCCCCTCGGTCACTCAGGACCACGTCATGCCTCTGCACAGAATGACGTCACTCCTTGAAACACCATTCCATTCCACCCGCTTCTCCCTAGGCCCCACTCAAGTTCATTCTTCAAAACTCAGCTCCAGTATCATTTCCTCCATGAGTATTTTCTTTTCTTTCTTTCTTCTTTCTTTTAGTACTAGGGATTGAATGCAGGGAGTACTGACCTATATTCCTCTCTCCTTTTTGGGGACAAGGTCTTGTCAGGTTGCCCAGGCTGGCCTCAAACTTGTAATCTCCCTGCATCAGCCTCCCAAGTAATTGAGATTACAGGTGTGCACCACTGTGCCTAGATCATGAAATATTTCTTGACCACTCCAATCTGGTTAGATGCCTCCTTTAAGCTCCCTCTGACTCACCAATAGCCTCACTCCCACCACACCTTGTTGATCTTACTCCTGTGTCTCCTAGTAGACTCTAAGTTTTTCAAAGGCAGCTGGAGCCAGTCTGACAAAGTGTGAATCCCAGCTTCACTGCTTTCTAGCTGGATGACTCAGTGAGCTAGGTAAACTCAGTTCTCCCATCTGCAAAATGGGGATGACCATTCCTGGTTTTGATTATCAAAATTTGCAAAATACCTAAACAATAGCTAGAACATACACGTTCAATGAACAAATGAGCTATAAAAAAGCAAGCATAATTATTACTACAATTATTACTATTAATCTTTTCTCCATTCCATTGTCTATTACAAGTGAAGTAGGCACTCAGCCAATTGGGGTGGAATGGGGTCATGGTTAATATACTCACTGTGGTTAACCTGGAACTGTGCTGGCCCATCAAGCAGTGCCCAGCTCTTTGTGTACTGAGCACTTGAACTGCAGCTAATCCAAACCAAGGTATGTGGTGAATGCAAAACCACACCATGTGGTGGAGACCTCGCGTGGAAGACAGGGCGTGAAATACCTCATGATAACTTTCATACCAGTTACATGTTGAGAGGACAAGCTTTTGGATATTTTAGGTTAAATAAGACATAGTCTTAAAAATAATCTTGTCTGCTTTTTTTTTAAATGAGATCGTAAGGGAATTTTAAGTTTCATATGTGACTATGTTGTATTTCTACCAGGTAGTACAGATCCCAAACCTACTGTTAGTAGAGCAAATCTTTACACAACCCCATTTAAGCTCAGGTATGATGTGAGCTTTAGGAGTGTAGATAATTCATTTAGGAGCAATGATCTCTTGGGAATCAAAGGTTCATCCAGTGGGGGTAGGGTGAGGCTCAGTGGTAGAGCATTTTCCCAGCATGCACAAGGCCCCAGGTCAAACCCACAAAAACAGGATAATCTATCCAGTCAACTTGTAAAGACTTTCGCATGCAGGGTCAATAAGCTAAAAGACAGAAGAAGTATGTAGAAAAGGGACTAAAGCTTTCTGGAGATTTTCCAGGTTCGCTGTGATCCTGAGATTCAAGAGTTGCGTCAGTGGCAGGAGAAACTCCGCGAGGACAAACACATTCACCAGCGAGTGCAAATGTTCTGGGCCAAACAAGAACAAAAAGGTTAGTTGCTTGGTTCACAGCCCTTTGCTTATTCAGGAAAAGCCTGATTCTTATTCCAGGCTCAAGAAGGAAGCCCTCTGAGATTTCAGAAGGTCCTTGTGTTTGCACAGAGCTCAGTCTGTGTGTGGGGGAAGTGGCAGCTGTTAAGATTCTGGTCTGGAATGGCATGACCATTTCCTTCCCTCGAGGACAACTTCAGTGTCACCTTCTATCTGCAGGTTTTTTTTTTTAAGCTGTGCGACATGAAGAATAATCCATTATTTTGAAAACATGGTGTGTATCAACATGAGAGGTAGTTATTCTACAAGTTGTTGATTGTGTGCCTGAATTTAAATGGTATTTTATACTGTTTCCTCTTTTGTGAATGTTAATTTTATGTGTCAATTTGACTGGGTCCCTGGATGCTCAGATAGCTGGTAAATTTTATTTCTGGGTATACTGTGAGAATGTTTCCAAAATATGAATTTGAATTTGAATTGGTGGACTGAACAAAATGGATGCCCCCCCCCCAACGTGGGTGGGCCTCATCCAATCTGTGAGGGCTTGAATGAAACAAAAGGCCAGGGACTGGTTGAATGAACTGTGCCTGACTATTGGAACTGGAACACTGGTCTTCTTCCACCCTTGAGGTTTCTGGTTCTCGGGTTTTCAGACCTGGGCTAGGATCCATACCACTGGTTCTCCAGCTCTCAAACCTTTGAACCACACCACCAACTTCTCTGGTCTCCAGCGAGCAGACAGCACGTGGTAGGTCTTCCCGGTCTCCATAATTCTCTGAGACAGTACCTTACCATAAATCTCTTCCTTATATCCAAGATTCATATATCTATCTCCTCCTGTTGGTTCTGTTTCTCTAGAAAACTCTAATATACCTTTTTTGAGCAACTGAAAACATACACACAAAGTACAAAGAATAATATAACCTGCATCCATCATCTGTCATGTACAAGTGTCAATCTTTTCTTCTGTTTGCCTTCATTCTTTTTTAAACTTAAGTTATGACATAGTCACAGTAAGAAAACTGGAAAAGTAGAGGCCAAAAAAGGGAAAACCCCAGAAATCCCACCATGATTAATATTTCAGTGTTTGACCTCCTATATATGGTTTCCAATGTAAAAAAGATACACATATATATTCATATTTTATTCAAAATGGAATTATGTGTATATTCTGTTATATACTGTTTCTTTGCCTTTGCCTCTAAAATTCTCTGAATATCATCCTTGTTAGTAACTAGACAGCAGTGTCATATGATATTTAACAGCTGTGTGGTATAGATTTAGCATCATTTTGTTAACCAACAATGTGGAAGGAGATTCATGATGTATTTTCAAGTGAAAAAAAATTGCAGAGCTGTATTTTCACCCATATTTAAAAATATCTGCATGGAAATTGAGTATCTAAATAGTCTGGAAGAAAATTGATGGTAGTTACCTTTGGGAATTTGGGATAGAATGGAGTTAGTGTCCTGTTGGGATCTTTTAAATAAACACATAGTACTTTCCAATTATGATAACTTACAAAAATATATGCAGCTCAGTGGACTATAGGCCATGCATGCTTTTCACCCTCTCATTCGCTGCCCATCCTATCCTAGACCCACTTCCCCTCAGCGGGCTGTAGTCCCCACCACCGCAGGCCTTTTTCTAGTCTTACGGTAAGACACATAAAGATCCTCACCCCTGGCTTCCATAGTTTCTCTTCCTTTCTGTCACATCACCCTTCCCAGCTCTTCTGTGGCCCCTCTATTTTATCCTCTCTTTTTTTTTTTTGGTACCAAGGATCAAACTCAGGACCTTGTGCTTGTGAGGCAGACATGGTGCCACTGAGCTAAATCCGGGACCCTCTATTTTATCCTTTAGAAGTGGGTCATTGCCTCTTTGGAGAAAGCATCCCTAGCTATGCTGTCTAAAAGAACAAGGAGCAGTTATTGAGAAACCTCAAGATGGTATGACCCAAACTAAAGTTTATTTTCTCTCCAGAAACTACCTTCAGCCCTGCCCTCCTGCATCTCTCTTCAGGCCCTTAATGCATGTTGGGTGGATTCTGTCTTTTCTGTAAGGTCTGATTCCATCAAGTCTAGTCTAATTAAGGCATCTCAATCTCACATCCAGTTTAAGGCTCACTGCTTGGGGACGCTGAAAGAACTACACAGTCTTTCATGACTCCACGTCTTCCTCTTCTGGATCTGTTCTCCTTTCTTCTAAAAGTCCTGATTTTGATAAATGTACTCAGGTTAGATAAGGAATCACCTCATTCTTAAGACTCATGCTGAATGTTTTAGGAGTCAAGGGACGTGATATGCATCTCAGTCTTAAATGATTCAGAAAAAAGTATACCACGCACACACACATGTGTGCATACATACAGAGAACAGAATGCAAATGTGAAATACAAAAATTGGCGAATCTAGCAGTGCTTGGCGCAATTACCACAACTTTTCTGTAAAGTCACAATAATTTTCAAAGTTTCAAGCTAAAATCCTAGTGCTTCATCTCCAGAGATTCTGACTTTGTTGCTTTGGAATGAGACGATGGGACTGGTACCAGTGGTAATGCAATGGTTCCCAGCTTCTACTGCTCACCTAGGACAGAGGTGGGGATTCCCCTGTTATTTTGTGCTGTTTTTAAGAAGTGGAGTTCTCAGAGCCGGGGATTTAGCTCAGTGGCACCGCAACTGCCTCGTAAGTGCAAGGTCCTGAGTTCAATCTACAGTATCAGAAAGAAAGAAAAAAGTGGAGTTTTCGATCCCTCCAGGCCCCAAGCTCTGGGTAACATGATGAGTCGTACTGATGAGTGACAGTGCACCTGTTCTTTGTTTCCTCGGCGGTTATTGGTCTTCCCCACTGGAGTGTAAGCTCTGTGAAGACAAAGACCCACTTGGCCTGGTTCACCCCCAAGAACAGTGCCTGGCTCAAAATGAACATTAAATAAAACTTGGATGAATATGTGAATGAGTGAGTGAGTGAATGAATGCAATTATGATGCTTAAGTGAGTCAACATACACAAGTGCCTGGTGCAGAGTTGAACGAGCACCTTACGTTGGCAGCCCGAGTGTTCCGCATAAATAAGCAGCTTCAGCATTGATTGCCACTTGGCTGGCTCAGTCCAAGCCTTTCTTCCACATTTAACTGCCCTCAACCACTGTTTCATTTCACTTCCAAATTGGAAGACAATCAGGGCTGTAATCAGTTTAAAGGTCAAAGGAAGTACAGCATGCCCATTTATTGCTGTTGTTCTGTATTCTTTGGAGTTGATTTGCTCTTGCTAGCTGACTGATTGATTTGGCTTGCTGTGGAGCAGGAAGAGTAGAGCAGATTGAGTGTGGTCAATAGCCAGCAGGGGAGGAGAGTATAAACTGTCTCATTCCAGTTACCTGTGGCTCAATGACCCCACCACCTTCCAAGGCTCCAAGATGCTTTCTATGCAAGCTATAGCTTTAGTAAATGTCCCAATGTGAACCAGGGTGTAAAATTTCCATTTCTGCTGAGACTATGAATTGGCCCTCGGGCAAAAAAGCCAGTTGTAATGAGTACCCCCAAATCTGTAGTTAGCTAAGAAGTCAGGGGCTGGAGGAGTAGCAGTGGTAGAGTGCTTACCTAGTGTGAGCAAGGCCTTGGGTTCCATCCCCAGCATCACACGTGCACGTGCACACACACACACACAAGTCAGATAACATTAATGGGTAAAGAACCAAGTGTTGGAGCTGTCCAGACATGCCTTTGGAATCTGTTATAGTTTAGGTCTAAAATGTTCTCTAAAATTCTCGTGTGTTTGGAAGATGATTTGCTGTTAGCAGGTGGGGCCTGGGTGGAGGTAGGTCACTGATGTGTAACCTGGAAGGGTGTATTCTTGTCCCTGCTCCTCCCTGCTCTCTCCTTGCTTCCTGGCTGCTACAGGTTGAGCACCTTTTCCTCTGTCGGGCCCCTCTGCCATCCTATTTCTGCCTTGGAGCCAGATGACCATGGACTGAAACTGTGAGCAAAAAAATAAACCTTTCCTCCATTTAATTGTGGGTGTCTGGTATTGTGTCCACCAATGGGAGAGTGACTAAAACAGAATCCTCACTACCACTCCTATCCAGGTGACTCTGACTAAGTTAATTTCCTTAAGCCTCAATTTCCCATGCACAAAATGGGACTAATATACCAAATGCCTCATAAAGTTGTTAAAGGATTCCAAACAAAATGGTCTTTAGAATGAGTTCTAGCATAGTTCCTTTAAATGTTAGTTATTATCTCAATGCTATTAAGATATTTGTGTGTTTCTGAACAGTTTTGTGTTGGTTTCCTCTGATAGCTCTGAGCTCCATGGGATCCATGGAAAGACTGTGTTTGTCTTGTTTATCATGTTCCCCAGGCTGTGCACAGAGCCTGGCCCAGGGTAGATGTCTCATAGATCTATGTGGAGGAGGAAGTTCTGGGCTTCATTTAACACAAGAAGAAATAGAGACCCTAGAGACTGGAGGAACTTGTCCAAAGTCACACAGCAATAGAGCACCTGGGCCTGGGGCCAAGGTCTTCATTTTGTCAGTTCAGGATTCTGACAGATCCCAGGGGAGACTATATATAGACATTGTGTTTCCTGTCCCCCTCCCATGCTGGGGCTCAAACCTAGAGTATTATATATGCTAGGCAAGCATTCTACTGCTGAGCAGCCCACAAGCTGCTGTCTTGAATTCTGCCATTAGACCCTAACTTCTCAGGACTCTTCCTGATAGATGTAAAGAATGTCAGATTTCTTATTATCTTGTAGTGGAGATTCTTGCTGTTTTGTGTTTGCACTGACTGAGGTCTCTAGATAGCAGAAGCTGAATTATTCCAATAGGGTGCAACCTGCTACTTACCAAGTGAAAGAGAACTTTTTGTTTCCTTCAAGTATCCAAGCTGAAAAAAAACATTTTGGGAAGCTCATGTGCTACAGTGACTTCCTATTTTCAACACTATGAATCTGGGTGTAATGAATCTGGGTCATGTGGAGGGTTAGAAATATATTTCCCT